CCCAGTATATTTTTATGTCGTTGTTAAAGGGAGGATACTTTCAAGGCATCCTGAACAATCAGGTTCAAACTATTTACAATCCTTCGAAGGAAAATAAACTACTCTTTGAGCATTTGTATTTGGTTCAGCAATCCTATGAGACTCTCATGCATACTGAAACCCTTATCAAATGGAAAGAGGGACTCAGATTCTGTTTAACTTGTCCATACAATTCCAAGAAGCTCTCAGAAGATTCCAAATATTCATCGACATAATATATTTGCATGCTTCCAGCTTGATGATTATGTCGTTCTTGCAGAACAGGTACAATTAATGATAGTCTTTATTTCTCAGAGATTAGATCATGGAAGAACATGAGCCACAATTTGAAAAATCTTTAGATTTTTGGATTTCATGAAATCTGTCTTCAGGGTTCTCGTCCATTTAGAGCAGGGGTTGGGAACCTGTGGCTCATGAGCCAAATTTTTCTCATGAGCTGATAAGTTTGACTCATTGAGTCATACCTGAATATCATGATTGTTCCTTATTTTTCCTCAGAATGCATATGTCTGTAGCCGACTTGCCATTCTGCTGTTCAGAAAGTTTCACTTGCAAGAACTTACCTCAAATATAATGCGGTTCACATGGCCAAAAAGGTTCCCAACCCTTGAACCAGAGTTTCATTAGTGGTACACAAGCCTTTCAGCATAATTTCAGTGCTTAATTATAGCTTGTGTTTTTATCTTTTTGTACCTTGACATACCAAGCTTTACTTGGAAAAATTCCTGGTGAAGCCAAAAATGCGCAATATATCCTTTGTTGACAACATTTCTCTCTTGTCTTGCTCTTCAACTCGAGCTTTGACATTGCCACCTTTCTGCAACAGTGACTTCCATGTGAAACCAGGTTTATCTTGGGCAACATAGAGGGCTAATTTTCTTGCAAAACTTTGAAAGTGCTCTCTCCAGTTGAATTGATTTTCTCAACGCCAGGGCTTCCCAACCTTTTTCACACGCGACCCCAAAAATTACGATCGTGCCATTCGGGACCCCAAGTACTGGCTCAAATTCAACAGGCTTCTCCCACCTGTGCACTAAAATCGGCAAGAAAAACATAACTTGGCATTTCATTGCCGGTTCACAACCCCAAAAGGGGTCGCAACCCATGGGTTGGGAAGCCCTGCTCAACGCATACCCAAATACTGTTGTGAGAGTCTCATCTAGATTTATCCAATTGACTTAATGTTCAAAATGGTATGGTATTGTCTCATGGATCAGAGAAAACTAGACTGTTGAATTATTTTAAATCAACATTTAAATTTACTTGTTATGAACCATTATTCAAACTCTTCAAGCTTCTGACTCAGATGCAATATAATTGTGTGTCACCTTCTCAGGAGCTTGGTGAAGGTATAAGTCTAAAGAGCGCCTGAGATGCTGGCTCTAAACTTTCAGTGACATGACTGCTGATCCAACATGTTAGAAATTGCCTTGTTTTGTGACAGCTTTTTCATGATTCATGTTGACATTTATGATCAGCTGAGTTGCTCAGTGTCAAGTGTTATGTAATTTCATTGTGGATTCAAGAAAACTGTAATATCAAAATCTTATCAATGATTATAGAGCTCTTGTAGAAGTGCAGGTACTCAAAGCTGCTTGGTCAATTAGTCAATTTCATTATCTTTCTGGGCAGATATTTTTTCCTGATCCAACACAATGCAAGATTGATAATCTTGTTTTCATTATTCTAAAACTATGCCAGATTATTGTCAAAATCTAGCACCTCAATATTAGGCAAACAGGAGCTCTGACACTTTGTTCATTATCTAGCAGTTTATCTGGGAATGTCTTTTTTTTAAAGCATAATTCATATCTAGCTTAACATCTCAGTTTTCATCTATTGCATTACCAATTGGTTATCTTCAGAAAATTATGCACGAGTGCAGTACCCTTTATGGTTCCTATGATGAGAAAAGTATCCCTTGAATGTGGTTCATATTGGATCTCTCATGACTGGATGATACCTAAATGGACTGTTATCTGGTAAAATGATAAATGCACCCTTATGAAAACAGGATCTGTGATTACAGATAAACATTTAAGTCTTGGCCAAAAAAAAGGTTATATGCAAGCCTAGACCTGACATATAGTCTTGAAAGCACCTTCAATCTTTTTAGTGCTGAAACCATCCAGTAGGAGATGCCGGGGGCATTGACACGCCACACCTGGGAACATCAATGGACTCCTTGTTTCATTCCATCATTGTCGTGCTCGTTCTGTGATGGTTTTGCTTCGAGAAGTCAGTTGTTTCCAGAATTGCTCTCAGCTAATCATGCATCATCACATTTGGCCCCACTGGATACAAGAGTTATGTGGAGGTATTGAAAATCTTTTTGTTATTGCAGTTAGACTTATCTATACTTCTGGGTCAGTAGTTTTCAACCTATGGTTGGTGAAAATTCTGGGTCAATGCAGAATTTTGACTTTGATTAACTAAGATTCAAGATGCATGGAACAAGTGTTTTTCCACCTGTATTTTTTTTCATTGGCCTCCTAAGTTCCAAATGGGTAGTGAAATCTTGAATAAATAAAATGTAGGTCACTCCATTGAGAAGGTTGGGAACTGTTGGTCTGAATCCTAAGACCATCTAGTTACAGTACAGTAGTCTTGATTCTCCAAAAAATGGAACTATGAGCACTTTGGATAATTGAAATCATGGAACATCATTGTTTGCACAAATTATGTTCATTTTATCACAAATGCAGAAAAATTACTCCAGATTATAGACTTGCATATGTGAGAAAATTAGCAACCAGCCCTACCTTCTTATATCATATAACCATATGTACTGTAGCTTCATGATTTATCATATTCATTTTATTTCTTCTTGTGTGTAGACAAATGAGGCAGGTTTGTGGCGAGATGGGATGATCTGGGATTGGCTAGAGTCACTCACCTTCCTCTCATCTCAATGGTGAGAGGAGGTAAAAAGTGGGTCTTGAACAGAGTTGGAAGGAAGTTGCTACACAGGCATCAAGACTTTTGGATTCAAAGCACCTTCTTCTTTCAATGTCCAAGGCCTTGGAGAATTAAATGGTCTCGCAAGAGCCCCAATAAAAGGGAAAAAATACAAAAAAAGGAGTCCAATAAAAGAAGAGAATTTCAAAAAAGAATGGCCTTGTACCATGATTGAATAAAATTGGTCATTGACCTACATCCGTCTTTTATTGCAATCTCTGGCACAGTGCCCCTGCACAGGGTGCAGATTGACTGCAGAATTATTACAAAATATGAAAAATTCTCTTTAAAAAGTTGCAATTATCCTAAACTTGACTAAATTAAACAAATTAATACGTAATGTATTGTTTCTGCTGGGGAAGCTAGAGAGGTATGGGGAGAGGGGGGCCCTGGATTGATATCTTGCACAGGGTGCCAAATATCCTTAGTACAGCTCTGCTATGGCATACAAATACTTCAATTTAATGGCTTGAAATAAAAATTGCTTGATTACCACTATCACAGACTATCACGGCAGAGGTATGAATTCACTAAGCATACTTTATTCAAAACAGAGTTGAAGAATTGATAAAGGAATGCAACAATAATGAAAAAATGACCAGTGCAAAATGGAACACATGAAACAACATTGGTTCATCATCATCATCACAATTGAGTTTCTGAATCACAGACAAAGTGCTTGGTTTCATCCATGAATGTTAGTAGCATGCTTCATGGCCTCCAGCATTGCTTCAGGTGCATCTGCAGGCACCTAAATTTGACAGAGTAGGTTTTTATGAAGTGGCATTGCAGGTTGAAAAATAATTATTTGGTATTTGTGTTAGGCTCACCATATGGCCTGCCTGCAGGATCCAGTAAAAACAAAGGTTTTTGTACTGCTTGTAAAAAGCTGCAGTCTTGATATGAGGCAAAGGGATAGCCACTCGCTCTGTGCTTCTCCATCCCTTCACCCCAGGCCACAGCAGTTTCATCACCCAGTTCTCTGTTCCTAAATTCATCATACAAATCAATCAAGCAAACATTCAATGAAAAAATTTTTTTTTTCTGAACTGGTGTGCGGTATCTCACCCTGAGTCGCAACAATTAGATCCAATTGACCATTGTACACGATGACAGACAAGTTAGTCCTGTTCAACAGAAATTCAACTGAAAAGGCAAGAAAGCATTGTCTTGAGAACCAACTGAAGCCACTCGGTAAGAATGACATTGAGAATGACTCCTTACCATCATCGGTAACTGGTTCCATGAAATCAGCTTCAAGAGCAGCAAACACCTCATCACTCTGTCCTCCCCAAGTAACATTCTCAGGGATGATACGTAACTTACGCCGAATGACGCCATTCATCAGATCCTTCAGGTTCCCCCCCTGGAGAAGGCCTACATGTCGATCATAGCTGAGAATTCCCCTACCTGAAAAATATAATAAACATCACAGGACCGTCCATCAAAGCCAACCAATGTAACTTAAAGGCCAGCATACGAGGCTTTTTCTCCACGGTGACTGCATTCAGACTTTGAACATCAGCATCCAAATGAAGAATGTTGTACCAATCAACACCATGTGTGAGGTTTTCCACCAGTGACTCAGTTTTCATCCAAAGTTCAGTTGCTGCCTTCCCATTCCCCTTTTTCACTTCATCTGCAGTTGCATCTGCCAACTTTTGCACCTTCTGGTATCCCTCTTCATCAAGGAAGGACTAGATGTGGAATAGTTGTTGATCATTTGTAAAATATAACGATGGAAAAACCAAGCCAAATTTCAATTGCATTACATTGTGATTCAGGCCCAGATAATATTTAAATTAGGAAAGAAAATTATTTTACACAAAATGAAAGGTAATTCAGATAGTCCATCCACAAAATCATTGATTTTATTATGTACCCAACTTGAACGAGCACTCTAAATGTAAGGGCCAAAGATAGATACCCTTGCTTTATATTTTAATCAGTTTCTTCAACAATAATTTGAGAGGTTCGATTGAAGGCATAAATCATTTTGATTTATGCATCAATGACCACAATTTTTATGACCAGTTTTGTAGCAATAATTACCGTCGCATAAAGGAATGGTGGCCATGACAGCATAGATTCCACTGGAGAGATCCAAGAATCACCAAGAGCAACACCTTGGAGGTTGCATTTCACCTTCCCAGCTACTGCTGCCTGAAAATCACAGTAAAGGATGGTCATCACACGCCACCAGTTCAAGGCTCAAAGAAAAAAAAAAAATCTTTGTCCTGACCTTGTTCAAAGCTTTTGCAAAACCAACTGCCATCTTCCCTCCATATGATTCCCCAAATATGTAGGTAGAAACTTTCTGAAACTCAGGGACTTTTTTAAGAAACGACGAGAAGAGTGTCACAAGATCATCGGCAATCATGGAGTTGTTTCTGGCATAGAGAGATTTGTTCTGGACATAACTGAACCCTGTACCAACAGGATTGTCCACAAACAGCACATTTGCCTCATTCACCTTGTGTAAGAAAAGCCATTGTAATGAAAGGGAAACGATGCAAGTCCACCTGTCATGAAATCAGACCTACCCAATTGACTTTTCTCGGATCGGACCCCACATCGATGGGCCCAATCTCCATAAAGTTTCCATAGCCAGTGGAGGAAGCACCAGGTCCTCCTTGAAGCCATATGATAAGAGGTCGTTGTGTATAAGAGGCATTGGCATTGGTATAGTAAAGCCACCAGAACATGTGAGCTCCAGGACGCACTTCCACATAGCTCCATGTCTCTTTGTTCTTCGGGGCTATGTAGTCACCTCCTGCAGAATAAACAAGGAAATCACACTTGATACTTGTGAACTAGAATAGGAAGTTTTTAAATACTTGCTGGAGAGATTTTGACACATACCATGAACTCTCTCACAAAAGAGGATGCAAATGACGAACACAAACCACATGGCGAAGCTGAAACTCGAAAAGTAAAACTCAAGGAAGGCGAAACGCGACGACGTCTTCCGTTTTTTTTTTTTTTTCTTTTTTCTCACTGAGGCTGAAGCTCTTCTTGAAACAATACGTGCCTCGAATTCATATTAAAATCTGGAAGAGAAAAAACAATTGTACAAAGGCCTGTGGCTACCGTTTTGAAAACTGGAAGCAGTCCAATGCGGAATACGAGAGAACCAAGGGTGAGACGAGGGACTACGAACAACGTGAGACAGTTTTTGCGCTGGGACCTTGGGAAAGAAAGCAGACAGCCTTAGGCAGTCAGTGATGCCAACTTCCTCATCGCGGATGCAGAAGCGCACACTTTCCCTCATTTGGCCCTTGCATAAATTAGACATCCTTCCCTACTGAGATTAGATGACCAAACGATAGATGCAAGAATGCAGACAAAGAAACTGAAAACAATAGGAGACATAGACGGAACGAAACTCCACGGTATTCATCGATGAGGTTAGTGAACTCCAGCAACACTCATGAGTCAATGGTGCCCACGTGGTTTTGAGCAACGACACTTATTATGACAGCTTCTGAGAAATGCGTCATACCTATGCAAATGCACTGCAATGCAGCTGCAAAGGCCGAGTAGACGACGAGGAGACAGTGGCAATGGTTTGGTGGAGATTTCGTGTTCCAAAAAGTCAATAATAGTCTGTCGAAATCCAACGTTACGTAGCTGTTTAGGCCCAACATGTTGGCATGGAACACCGGATTTGAAATTGCGTTGTCTGTGATAATTGGGCTTCTTCTCATCAAAATCATTTCATTGTGCTTCTCGCAAGAAGTTGTGATTCATGCAAGGGACATCCGAAAGGGCCATAAGTGGTCGGAATCATCCCTTCTTACGTCTGTGAGTTGTGACTTCCATTGGCCTTTCAAGTTAGTATAAGGCCTATATATGGCAGGGTATTTTCTTTTTAAAAATAAGTTTGCATGCATTGGATTGAAGAGGAGAGAACTTACTAAATCACTCCAGACAGGAAGTAAATGGTCAGAGACAAAGTAAATTTGTGGTTAACAGGAATGTGCTTAATATGGGTGGAGCAAATTTTCACTGATCTACCATATGGCTGAGAAGCTCACTACAGGATTTTGTTATAAGCCTTAGGTAATGGTTGAGCTAGACTGCAAGAATGTCAAATAAGCATATAAGAGCTCAAGTATCTCCTCATTTTCAGATGGAGATCTATCTTTTACATCATACCCAAATACTGATGCTTTATTTCCTTGCTGTCCTCCTAAACCTGGAATAAAATTGTAACTAATGTATGTCAGTGAAAAGTCTTCTACTACAAGTATCACATCAAGTTAATCTTCACTAAAAATAAAAAAGGCTAAATTCATTATTCTGTCAAAAACAGCTCAGGTGCAGATGTTCTCAGGGCCAAACGCCAGACATTTTGTTTGGCTGATGAGAGCTCAAATGTGTAGCCCTTTCGTTTCCTCTATAAAATCATTTTGCCCTGTGAAGGTTTAATCTAATGAGAAGGCTTATCATCATGAAGAAGAAATTATGCTTTGTCAAAAAATGTATGCAGGATTTGTGTTGAAGATTTAATCAAGAATGGAAAGGCACTGTTTTTAAATGTTCTGGTTTCGAAAAAAAATACTGACCCTTGAAATAAGTATAAAAAAAACTCATAGATTCTGCTTCTTAGTTTTGCATACTTTCTGCTGCACATACCCTGGCATTGGGATTTAAGCAAATGAGCACAAGATAGTGGAAATGAGCCACTTTTTTCCAGGGATTGACAGGATGAGTGGGGCTCTTCAACCTTTCAACCTAAACCTCAAAATTTCTTGTACTAGTACAAACCCATCCTTAGTCCTAACCTGCCATAGGGATCC